GTGTGTAATAAATAGAACGGCTTCCTTCTTACTGCAAGCCCTTCAATTATAAGAAAGAAGATGTTTGAGTTGTTGACTAGATTTAGGTATAGATCCATAGATATAGAGTGATCACGTAATTAAGCTCTGTGTCCCCAACAGTACAGGTTCCCAAAGTATGAGCCACGACTTGTTTTTGATTTTTAATAGATCGCGAAAAATTTCAAAACATAAGAGCAGTTTACGTAATTCACAATCTATTACGTCGAATCACAATCTTTTTTCATTCGGTGCTTTCAATCTTTGATTAATCAAAGTATACAAAGTGTATGAAATAATTAACTAGAAAAGATCTCGGCCGATAAATGTTTTGGAAACTAGTAGTTTCTATGTAGTTTCGAATGATCTTTTAAATAATCATCCTAATTATTTAACCTTTCAATTAAAATCACTCTCGTTAAACAAAAGGTTCTCCTGCTCGATCGCTACAGCGGATGTTGGTTCATTATTCACCTTTCTACGTCGTGATCGTGCAGAACGTTTAACCAAGCGCGTAGAAACTCACCGATCCGGTTAATGATCGATTATTGTGTGAATAATAATAATTCAGCGAGTAGACGGGACGAGATAAGATAAACGCTTTTCCAAATCATTCAAAGTTTGCAAAGTCTCGGACTGATATCGAATAAGAATTGATTGCTCGATGACTGATCTAATAAAGTACTGAAGAACAATATAGTCGAAAAAACAAACATTGCTTGGCTGATTTCTGTCAAAAATAATAGTTATCGCAAAAATTCTTATAAAAGACACTAGTAAGTAACAAGTTCGTTATTAAAGCCGAGGATATTAATCACGTGATTGAAACATTTAAACATTGTTGCAAGTAACAATTATAAGTGTTACAACAGATAACTGTATTTTACACATTTTATACATTCTCATGCATTATGTTTAACTTTCGCAGAAAATCCTTTTACGTATTAAATATTATACTGTACTTTGGATATTTTATTTCATATATTTCACGTGCAACATCATGTGTAACTCGGTGTAATTCTGCACTTAAAAATTTCTAACTAATGATATATTTGTCGAAAAAACAAACATTGCTTGGTTGATTTTTGTCAGAAGCCAAAAATAACAGTTATCGCAAAAATTCTTATAAAAAATACTAGTAACAAGTTCGTTATTAAAGCCGAGGATATTAATCACGTGATTGAAACAT